TTGAAAAGAATAGAGTGCTTACAAAACTAATAATCATTTCAAACACTATTATTTATGTTTCTTAATACTTTTGAAACTTTTTTATAGACCTATGTTTCACAGCTAGATGGAATAACAATGACAACAACGACCACCATTTACTCAGGCCCTGTAAAATATGTCAATCTTTTTTTTGTTTTAGCATCTGTAAAAATCATTACCACCAGCACACTAGTGAAAATCACTACTCTGCTATGTGAAGTACATCATGGGCTCATTTCCTGTTTCAGGACTACAGTAGGACTCTTACAAACACAGTCTCTAATCTTCACAAAAGTCCTAAATGAATTCTCTCCCTATTCCACACAAGAAAATCCAGGCTTAAAAATAATTATGAAATTTGCACGTGAGTCCAGGCAGGTGTAAGTGATAGATTAAAAAACTGAAACCCGGGTCTATCTAGCTCCAAAAACCTGTGTTCTTCCTACCAAAAAATTTTATTGAAATTATTAAATGCACTGGTTCTCCAGTGCAATTTACCTTCTGCTTTAAAAGAAACAAAACACCAAACCGCACTTCTTATTTAGGGAAAATATAACATTACTTACTAGAAAGCCAATTATTAAATACAATTCAAGTCCTGTAATTTAACACAGAATGATTAATTATCTAGCTAGTTTCAAAACCTTGAATTTCCAGAAGTGTCTGATGATAATGCTTAAGGAATCTTTTTTTTTCTACCAGCCATCTTGCTGGTAGAAATGGATGTCCATTCTATGCAACTTGCCATTTCCTTCCTCTATGCTTTAAACATAAAATAGCTTATGAAAATGATACGATATTCTACAATTATATTTTAGTCATAGTGATCAAAGACATTTTAAAAGCATCATAAATGTTTTTCTATAGTGTTTCTAATAGATGTCTACTCTTACAAAATGCTTGCAAATCATGCAGTAGTTTTACATATAATCCAATTACAGAACAACAGATGGACAAAGGTAAAAAGAATACATACTTTGTAAAAAGAGAGAAAGAGAAATGAACTAATAATGAAAGAGGTTGATGGTGGCAGACAGGTTCCAAATGCCAAGCAATAATAAATAGTATTCTGACTCAATAAGAAACCAACAAACCACCTACAAGTTACCTTTTGCTAGGTTTCAGTCCCAAATAATTGTTTTGTTCGTAGAAAAACCATAAGAATCATGGCTACAAAAAGAGAATTGCTAGTCCAATTCTAAAATAAAGAAGACAGCTGCTTTTTACTTAAATCCAGCATGAAAAGATTTTTTATATATTTGCTAGCCTCCAAGAAATTGCACCACGTAAGGACCCCGTAACATCAGCAGTTCTAGAAGTGCTTTTTCATCTCAAGTTTCAAACCATGCTCACTTTTTACGCTTAAAAGAAAATGGTTTAAAAACGTATGATTCATATCCAAATTGAGATAATACATACAAGAAAATAACTACTCTGTGTATAAAATACATATTAATTACAATCTCCTAAAATAACAAACCTAAAAATAATACTGAAGAAATTCATGAAATTGAAAGTTTTTTGTCTAAAGCCTCTTCAAGCTCTGTAATTCTTAGCATTTCTAACCTTCAATTGGTAAGAAATATTTAAAAGATAGCAGACAATATTTAATTGGGGTAGGCACAGTAACCTTTTTTAACCTTTCTTAGGGAACACTGACCCCTAAAGGTTCTAAATTTAAGTAAGTTTCAGTATCTTCTCTATTTAACTGGCATCCAGACTTCATTTTTCCTTACATTACTGTAGGTATGTCGAGTCACGGGGGACACAGTTATTCATAAGTAATACATAAACTACTTCCAGCCGACTGTTGTGCACTGTAAAACAACTAAACCCTTTCTGCTAATTTAATAAAAATCACCAAAATTTAATATAAGAAATATCCAGAAATTTACCATACTATTCCAAATAATTACTCAGGAGAGATTTCTGACCTCCATGCCTTTTTTTCTTACATAATGAAGCAAATAATAAGCAAATGCTAAAAAGGGCCGAACAACCAATAACACAACAACTCATTCTTTCCAAGGGCTGACTCAACAAATGTCCTTTGATTATGACATTTCACTTTTTTCTTAACAATCAGAAAAAAAAAGAACCTTGAAAAACAGAAAGTTTTCACAAAAGGGCAAAACACCTTTTACTTCTCAAGAAGCAGAGGATGTTATCAATGCCCACTTGGCAACACGCGTTTATTCTCTCACATATTGCTTGCATCAACTTAAACATTTCATTCATTCAGGGTTGTTTTTTAACTACTTAAAGAACCCTGGACACAGTTTGTAAATGTCTTCACCCTTTCCACCTACCAACCTTAGCTTCACATGTTCCAAACTGTCTATAATGACAAAAACAAAGAAAAATGTAAATGGTTGTATCTGTTTCATTATATATGTCATCAACTCTTTGACTTCAAATACTTCAGCAGTCTTTCTACAATAAAGCCAGGAAACAAGAAGCCACATCAGCTTCTTTATGATGGAATGTGTAAGACAATGCAAAAGCCTATCTGTGTAATACAAGTTTTAATTAGCTCAATTTCTTAAATAAGTAAAATAATATTAAATAAAATAATTATTTATTAGAGCAGACTCTGAACACTAGTGCCAGAGAGAGCTTTAAAGCAAAATGTACTCTGATAAATCCCATGAACCAGGACATCCGGCAGACAGCATGTGAGATTTTACTGTTTAAACATATCACTTATCACAAAACCCAAAAGAGACTACATTTACCTGTTTAATTTTATTTCTTAATAATGTTTCATTAACAGGCCTTCTATATAAAAGAATGTCTTAGTCCTATTTCCAATGTCAAAAAAATGCCTGTAAAAATGCAAATTTTCTTAATGATGTTTCAGTCACGTCTATTGTGGTCTGTGCCTCCTGCAAACTATTTATGCATCTATGTCATTAGCCCTGAAACCTTCCTTTCCGTAAGCGTCCTAGAGCTTCAGCAGCTTCCCTTCCTTAACATCTTTCCTGGTTATTTTACATTTTTGAGAAGTATTTCCTCCACAGCCTCTAGCGCTTTGGATACTAAAAATAATTCTTTTGGCTCCTTAAAGATCCTTTTCTCCATAATTTGAATAACATGACTTTCACAGTGAATGTGACCTCTGAATAGGGAACATAAGCAACAGGGGCATCATTATTTACTTCCTCTTGTCTTATTTTGTACATAAATTGAATAAAACTGCTCTGAGCTCTTCAAAAGAATGTTTGTTTGCTTATTTGCATATATGAGTTAAAAAAGCTACAAGTTAGTTCCCAGCTTCAGACCAATACCTACTTACCACAAACTTGAATATAAAGACAGTGGATCAAAGTGTCACAAAGTCCATTCACTAAAACTATTAACTTTGCATTAAAAATCTTTACTTATCTTACTCAGATATTACTTGCTACTACTTTGTACACAATTCAATCAGTTACTTGGATTCTAAACTCTTAACAAGCAGCCTAGAGTCACAAATAAGCAGAGAAAGGTTGCTAACAGTGGACAAAAACTGCAAGAAAATTTGTAACAATATGGAAATCAAAAACAAATACAGAAATCAAAAAAAAGGTATACTCAGAAAGCATAGCATTTTTTTATACCCCAAAAGAATGCATAGCTATTAACTTCTTTAGTACAATGATGATAGAACAGTCCCCCAAAATGGCCTTTAACCTTCTGAAAAATGTAACAGTGTGGTTGACATACGGCAAAAAAGGAGCCCCACTGGGGTAGAGGGAATCAAAACAGGGAGAGATGTGTGCAATGTTTTGGTAATAATCCTATTTTTAAAATTATAAAATTTAGAGGAAATAAAAACAGTGTACAAAAAGTTTAAGCCAACTAAATGCACTACTATACTCAGAATGATTCATTTCCTAAGGATTCCAGATTTGCAACATTTTACTGCAAGAGACCTCCACTTAAAACCTAACATTTTTAAACCTCTTTCCATTTGGCTCCTTCTACTTGCTCTATGGATGGATGCGCTCTATCTAGCTCTCTATCCTCTCTCTCTCAAGGATCTATCCATCCATCCATCCATCCATGTCTCATCTCTCTCTCTCTCTCTCTCCCCCTTTGAGGTGGTCTTAGTCTTTCAAACTGTTCTCTGACTTTCCCCCCCTCCACCTGTGCATATCTGTGTGTATCTTTTTCTCTTTTTCTCTCTCTCCCCCCTTGTCTCTGACTGTCTTCATGGCTCTCTGTCTGTCTGGGAGCATCTTTCTCTGTCTGCATCTGCACATCCCTGCATGTCTGTGCCGCTCTGACTCTCTGGTCCCCTGTGACTCCCTCTCTCTGTGGGTGTGTCTTTTGGTGTGCACGTGTCTCTCCATGTATCTCTGTATCCATATGTCTCCCTCTCAGTGTGTGTGTGTGTCTCTCTCTGTATACGTGTATATCTTTCACTGTGTGTCTCTTTTCTGAGTGTGTCTGGGTGTATGCCTGTGCCTCTCTCTCTCTGTCTCTCTTTTTCCCCTGTCTCTCTCACTGTATGTCTCTCTCTCTTTCTTGCTGTGTTTTTCTTACTCTGGTATTTCTCTGAGTACTGATGTGTGTATCTTTCTGTGTATGTCTATACATGTGTGTCTTTCTCTCTATGTGTGCCTCCATATGTGTGTCTGTGTCTCCCTCTTTGAGTACAGCATCTCCCTTCCTGTGTCTGTAGCTCTCTTTCCGTTTGTTTCTTTCTCTGAGTGGACTGCTCTGTATGTATCTCTCTCTCATTCTCTCTATCTCCTCTCTCTACCACTTTGTGTCTATGTGTGTTTCTTTCTCTCTCCCAGTCTGTTTCCCGCTTCCTCTTTCAAGATCTCTTCCTCTGTGTGTCTTTCTTTGTGTCTCTTTGGCAGTATGGGGGCCTCTCTGTGTGTGCCTCCTTCTGTGTGTGCTTGTCCGCCTCTGTCTACTATGTTGGACAGAACAAACACACTTCATTCAGTGCGTGGAACTAGCACAACACCTGGGTTTGGTATCGATACCTGAAAAGTCCTTGCCGTCTGACCGGTCCTCCATTGGTACTTCTGTTCTTGTTTGCTCTGGCAAAGTCTCTGGTTTTTCCTCCAAGATTTGAAGCTAAAATAAAGCAAACTCTAGATAAATAAACTTAAAACAATGCATCAGAACACACCTAAACCTTACCTTTGTTTAACAGAGAATTTACAGGATAAATGGTTTTCTAAAATGTTTACAATGAGACAATTAACCACGTATTTCAACAGGTAAAATTAAATCTTTTTTTCTCAGAAAAAGCTTTTTTCCTTCACATTTATATTTTAGTAAATACAGTTTAAGTTAAGCTTTCTAGACATTTTTGCTCCTTTGGCTGGAGAACCATTTAATTTATTTAACTTAAGTCTTCTCCAACTATAACTTCAACAATTTAAGAAAAATAAAATTTTTACTCTATTTGTCATAAACTTTATATCAAAAAACTTAAAGTTTATTGATTTGAATTTATAACGTATATTTTCACATAAAACATTTTACACTTGTAAAAGTAATTTAAGAAAGCTATTCTAATTTTTTTAAACATAAAGACTAGCATTAACTTATGGAATTATTGCTATTTCTTTCTTGCATTTGTTTTCACAATAAACATGATAAAAGGTATGCAAGTTTTTTTTTGGCATGCTTTTAAGAAGAATAAAATTAGATTTACCTCACAGCTAGAACTCTGCGTTCTTTAAAAAGTCCTCAAATAAAGCTGTAGTCAGCTTCTCCTTTTCCAATTTTCTCTAAATATGTTGATCTGGAGTTGGCAATCTTTTTCTAAGTTCCTCATTTACTTTTGGATTAGCTGAAAATATAGGAAGTTATTAATATCAAAGAAATATGTTCTAGTCAATGAAGCCATTTCCCTACATATTGCCCAAAAAGGTTAATAATAATTGCAGTCTTTTAATAAGAGATTCATATAGCAAGACATGTAGAAAATACAGTCTTTAATAACCTCTGGAGTATTTTAAAACATGTCTTACAGGTCTTAATGTGCTTAGTAATATAGTATTTAAAACCATAATTTTATCCCTCTGCAATATACAATCACTCTTCCTCATCATTTACCCAGCTAATGAATGCCAGCAATTAGTAAAATGTAATCCCATTGCACAATCATTTTAATGCTTTTAGCACTCAGAAAAGTAAACACCAAATTAATACGGCTCAAGCCATATCAGATCCTAGTTGGAAGCAAGCAATTATAGTTCAGCTCCTCAGGTGTAATTAAATGATTGGAATGATTTAGTTCCATAAATGCAAGTTAATTCATAAGCAAGCAACAAATATACTGGGAGTAATTACAAGAAACACTGACAGTCTAACAGGGCTAATTCTTCCACGAGCCTGACACAGTAAAATGCTGCCCTCTCCCGGGCATGTGAGTGAATATCTCAGAGGAGAAAACAACAAAAAACGCCCCCAAAACCTAACTTTTAAAAAGCCACTAGAAAAAATAACAAGAACCAATCTATCAATTTTATTTTATTCCTTATACAAAAAATTTTAATATATGGCTTACATGTGATAATTTCTACACACCCTGGTAATTAATGCTTTTTCCGATCAATATGAATATGAGTCCCAAAACCCACCATGCAATTCTCATATGGTTTAATGAAACTAAACCATTCATATATGACGCTGACAGACTGTAGGTGAAACTGAGAGTACCCCCTGGAACACCAGGCCAATGCCTATATTCTCGCACAGGTAAACCCTAACTGGACTGTTACAGCAAATAACTAAACTATGCTATTCTAAGTCCTAAAAATTTGCAAGAAAAATAATCTCTGGAAAGCGTAAAACAAAATACTCAGTATTACTGTGACTATACATAATGGTCTGAAAGTAACTGTTTTTAGTGAACTTTAAAAATAAAAACTAGAGCACTGATAGAATGTCATTATAAGCACATTTTAAAACATAAAGAGTAACAGATAGTACAGAAAATAAAATGCAACCTGATTTTACTTAAGCCATTGCTAACTTCTTACTTCCTTAGGCTAAAATTCAGAACAAACTGACCTGTATCCTACTCAGATGGTTCTTAACTAAACCTTCAGAAGCTTATTTATTATACATTTAAATTGTGCTATAATCAGTAAGTCTGTGTTAACACATATGTATTTGAAGCAACTAAACCCAATCAGAATTATCCCTTTGACTTTCTTCAAAATTGAGCACAGTCTCAAATATTACCAAAAGCACAACAAATGTTTAAATCTCCGATAAATGCCAACGATACTTGCAGAGGATAATGTTTAACACTATCAACACTTTGGGGGAGTGAAGGAGCATTATCGCCCTTCTAACATGCTTTCAAATGCATTAAAATAACCATATTCTAAGTCATATCTTCTGCAAACTATAAAAATAAAATAAATCAAAATATTAAAAAGTCCTGCCACTAAGTTTAAAATGTACAGCACATTTGCTTTGCCCTTGATGTCACAGTCTTATTTTTCAATTCATACCTTGTACACTGTAAGTTAATTGCTTCTGGAAAGTACTTATTATTCATGTAAAAATTAATGTGCCAATGTGTTTAAATCCTCTTAAATGACCATTCATGCATCTTTCTTCTTTAAGTACCAATGAAATCTGTCAAAAGACATCAATGCAAAATGGTCTTAAAAAAAGTTCTAATAGAGATTTTTTTTCTGCTAACACAAGATTTTCATATTCACCAACTTTACTTAAATTCCATTAATTTTTTAAGCTACTTTTAATAAATTCACCAAGTAAAATTTTTAGGCCCCATAGTCTGTCATTTGTGTTCCAGCTGACATTATGAATATTAATAACAGTGTTATCCTGATTAAATAGGCTTCATATGAAATCCCTGTGAATCCTATAGCTCAGACATCTCATTTTTCCAACTCTTTATGAATTTGGATTCAGACATTAAACTGGAAAAATCTTAAAAAACAGATTTAATGGCACATTTGCATATTGTCAAGCAAAAATTAGATGTTCTAATGATTCAAATGATTATAACATATATCTACATATTGTAATAAGGATAGGAGATTTCAGTAAACATGCAACACATTTTGCACTTCTATTCATTTTAGGACAAAGGATTAAGACCAATAAAATACTGATTCCTTTCCTTAGACTCACTTTAAAGATTTGATATCAATCAAAATTGTTTCAATCAAAAATTATATATTCAAGTTAAAACTAGTGGGATGATTTTATAGTAGACATCAGATAAAGTAGACTTCTTAATCAAAATGCTAATTTAGTACATCATAGACAAAACATAAGTTAATTGCTTTATCATTACTAATGTATACCAGGTCCAAGTAGCAAAATAAAATTGATTTCCAACTAAAGTTTGTTTATAAGTTGTGCTGGAAAGAATTACCCATGTTAAAAAAGAAAAACAAAATCTTTACTATAATGGACAGAACATACTATATTAGTATCTGTTCAATTAAATTCTTCTCCATCACCGATTCCTAAACTCACTCCTCCCAAGTTGTTTTTAATTCTCAAAGGAAGTGAGTCTTATTATGTAGAAGAAAGGAAAAATACATAATAACTAGGAAAACGTATGCCCCCTTCTCTCTATAGTTACACGGGAATCTAAATAGATCTGCCAAAATTTCCTAACTTCACCTTATCAAAAAATGTAGATGGAAAAAATTTAAACAAACATCTCTATGTTCTCAAACCTCACTTGACTCTCCTTATTTATTCAGCACTAAAACACTTTATGAAAGAAAATTTGTTCTTTGACCAGTCTAAATTTTCTAATCTGCCTAAAAAACTATAAGTAATTCTGACATTCATCCTTTAAAATTAAACAATGGCTTTTTGATAGAGAGACATTAAAAAATGGGATTTCATATGCCAATGCAACAACATCCAAGATTTTTTAAACCTTATTTTAAATAGAAGATGCCCTTCTTACCTTGCACATTATGGCAAAGGTTTTTGGCTGACTTTGGTTAATCGCATTTTTTTCCCTAATCCCTCCTTAGTTAAATCAGAAATTTGTGTAAACTGAATCCAATAGTGTCAAACTAGAAATCATTCATAACACTGCCTCATACCCAAGTATGACTCCAAAAAACTCCAAATTTTGCATTTCCTAGACTGAGAAATGTTGATAATTTCTGCATTCAAATGGTTTCATTAAAAGGCCAAAGGAGAGCAGTATATTTCTGAGAGCCAAATACTTTATCGCATAAGTCAACATATACAATATACGCATACGTTCTACAGCTGGATTTTTATATTATTAGACAAAAGTCTCTCAAACATTCACAGTCCCTGGCACATTCTCTCTCAAAAAGAATTCCTTTCACTCACGTTTCTCACACCACAGCCCACTCCCTACCAGGCTCCAGACAACTCCGGTTCCTCAGAGCCAGGGGAAGCGAGAAGTGGTTTAGGGAGAAAGGATAAGGGATAAGGGTGGCCCCACACCACAGCTATCAAAATTTAAAATGCATATTCCATTTGACTCCTCAGTTCCACCACTAAAAGTATTTAGAAAATTATCTAAAACATGTTTGTATGCACACGGATACTCACTGAAGCAGTACTCCTGTGTAAGAGAAGATACGCTCGAGTCATGGACTTCTTTCTGTTCCTTGGCTTCACCAAGCTTATTCCTGCCTCAGAACTTCTATCCTTACTATTCCCTCTGCCTAGACTCCTCTTCTCTAGCTCTCTAAACCATTTTTCTCATCATTAGGGCTTGCTCAAAAGTCATCTCTTCAAAAACGTTTTGCCTGGCCTTCCTATCTAAGGTAGAAACTCCTCTCTCATCACATCCTTTATATGCTGCTGCCTTCATGAAACTCATTTATTTAGGTCTCATTTCATTGTTTTTGATATATCTCAGCCAATTATGTATATACAAGTTACATGTAAGCAAGGCCCTGGATCTTCTCCTTTATCTGATCCTCAGAAGGGTGTCTGACAAACAGTAAGTACTCAGTATATTTTTGATGGGCAGACAGGTGGATGAATGGATGGATAACTAGTAGAAAAACAGACCTAACACAAACGTTCATCAATAGAAAACTAGTAAATAAAATGCAGTACAACCATAGAGCAAATCTATATGATTTGTCTCTAGAAGGACACACAGGAAACTACTACCCGTGGTTACTCTGAAGAAAGGGCCTAAGAGTTGAGGTGGGGAGAGAGAAGCAAGGGAAAGAAGTATTTTTATTTCATTTTATATCTATCTGTATAATTTGATTTTTTAAACCATGTATATGTGCTATTTTTAACCTAATAACTATTAATTAATAATATTGAAATCGGACAGCAAACTTTGAAGGAAGCCACGTTACGTCTGAGCAATCCAAAATGATTAGAAAGGAACGAACCTTGATGACTGCCTTGAGACTTTGAGAAAACTATTCTTGCCTAATTAACCTTTCATATCTATACTTTGTTATGGTTGTTTGCTTGCTTACTTAATTTAAGTAGAGTGAAAAGTGCAAATTAATATATGATAGAAATCTTTTGGAATAGCAAGGCTTAAAATGAATAAAAGAGTTTCCTGAGAATTAAGCAAATATTTCTTAAAATAATCAGATTTCTTTGTTCAATTAGGGACTATTTACAATAGTCTTAGTGTTCAAGATTCTAAAACTTAAAAAGTTTCTAATAAACATTAAATTGTTCTATATTATGACTACTGTATGTTTGTCACAGATAGTTCCCCTGTGTTATATGCTTTAGTGATCAAGAAATTACTATCAAAAAAGTTGAACTACTTCCCATCACTGAAGGTCACAGAAGGACATTAAATTAAGAGGAAATAAATATATG